TTGCAGTTCTGGGACCAACAGCAACAATGGGGACCAGAGTTCATCCCACTATCTTTCCTCTAATTTCCCTAGAAAAAGAGATTAACCAGAACCCTGAAGGAGCTGACCTCAAGTGAAGTGAACTTATAGGAAGCAAGTGGATCTGAGAGATACAATGGGAGGAGCACAGTGGATGCTGGGGTATGCCAATCCCTGCAAGACCACGACTGTCAATTCCCTCAGCATCCAGGAGTGTTGGGTACCACCAGCCCCAGGATGAGACTCATCCCAGAAAATGCCCTTGGCTAAAGGGAGCTGCCTCACCAACGTTCACACCACTCCTGGGAATCAGCCAGAATTGGTGACTGGTCCACAGGAGGACACAAGGGCCTGATCCCCTGGCCTTAGTTCAGGATAACTCTGAAGGGATATCCACACTCCAAAACTCCCCCTGGGATCAGCTGGGGCATCTGTGTGACTACAGGCAGTTCTATAACTCCGTCTGCCCAATCTGCTTCCCTCATCTGCAGGAGTTGTTCCTGCGATCACTCCCCAACAAACTTCCCGCATGCAAATCTCTACGGGTGTTTCCCAGAAAAAACTTAACCAAAAACAGTCAAAAACTTAAAAAAGTCAATAGCAGTAATATATTTTTAGAGACATTGCAATAAAAGCCCAAATAATTAAAATAGTTAAATGAATGTTGCCTCCGGCAGGGCAGAAAAATGGTGTTGGGGGAACAGAAAAATGTTTTATTATAGAACGATTTTCTTTAAACTATATGCAATTATGACTTAGAAACATTTTATAAAGCTAGATTAAGACAAAAAATATTATAGGTAAAAAAGATCATTATGTATATTTAAGAAAAAAGGGGATGGCCAGGCGCAGTGGCTCACGCCTGTGATCCCAGCACTTTGGGAGGCTGAGGTGGGCAGATCATGAGGTCAAGAGATCAAGACCATCCTGGCCAACATGGTGAAACCCCGTCTCTACTAAAAAATACAAAAATTAGCTGAGTGTGGTGGCGGGTGCCTGTAGTCCCAGCTACTAGGGAGGCTGAGGCAGGAGAATTGCTTGAACCCAGGAGGCGGAGATTGCAGTGAGCCAAGGTTGCGCCATTGCACTCCAGCCTGGCGCCTGGCAACAGAGCAAGGCTCTC